CATATTCGAAATTGTGTTTTTAAATAGTTGTTCTTGATATGTAGATATGTATTTGTGTATTGATGGTTTTGATAAAGTTGTAAGGGTAAAAAGTATCTATTCACCTGTATAGATACTTATATATTTTTTATATATGATGCATTTTTATATGAGTTTCATGCTTATCATAAGGTAAATAATTACCATAGAACATTTATAAGCAAAAAAAATTCAATTACATAGAATAATACTAGCCATAAGAATCTAACTTGATGGCAGCTTCTGCTCTCTTTTTTCTTCTCTCATGATCTCTACATACAGATTGTCCATAGCATTTTCTCTTCTCTCAACATCTCAAAATGGTCAATTAATTTCAACTTCTTCCATTATAATAATATAATCTTTCTCATACTAATAAGTATTAATCATTATTGATTGAAGTTCATTTGCGCAGTTATTTCTCTTCTCTCATCATCTCGGTATAACCAATTAATTTCAACCTTTTCCATTATGATAATATATTTCTTCTCGGTTCATTGAGCATTAATCATTATTAATTGAGTTATGGTCTCGAAGCTCTTTTTCTTCTCTCATCATCTCGGTATAACCAATTAATTTCAACCTTTTCCATTATGATAATATATTTCTTCTCGGTCCATTGAGCATTAATCATTATTAATTGAGTTATGGTCTCGAAGCTCTTTTTCTTCTCTCATCATCTCGGTATAACCAATTAATTTCAACCTTTTCCATTATGATAATATATTTCTTCTCGGTCCATTGAGCATTAATCATTATTAATTGAGTTATGGTCTCGAAGCTCTTTCTCTTCTCTCATCATCTCGGTATAACCAATTAATTTAAACCTTTTGCATTATGATAATATATTTCTTCTCGGTTCATTGAGCATTAATCATTATTAATTGAGTTATGGTCTCGAAACTCTTTCTCTTCTCTCAACATCTCAAAATGGCCAATTAATTTCAACTTCTTCCATTATAATAATATAATCCTTCTCATACTAATGAGTATTAATAATTATTGATTGAAGTTCATTTGCGCAGTTATTTCTTTTCTCTCATCATCTTGGTCTGACCAATTAATTTCAACTTCTTCCATTATAATAATATAATCCTCTTCATACTAATGAGTATTAATCATTATTGATTGAAGTTCATTTGCGCAGTTATTTCTCTAAATTAATAAGAATTTAATAATTTTAATATTATAATATAATATAATTTTTTTCAAAATAATGATGTTCAGCTTAGTTATCAAATGATAATCTAAAATTGATTGAAGTCGATGGTAACAGTAATAATGATGATTACTTTTAATAATATACTATGTATATATATATGAGTTAGAAAATGGTGAATTTACTGCATCGATTCATCTTTAATAAATTTGGCATAATCTCGAATAAATGCGAGAGCTGCAGTCTTAGTTCTTCTCTGATAACAACTCCTTTTTTTTATATAACCATTTGGATTGGCTCTTGATGTGAACCCGTTGTTTAGTTCTCTGCGACATTCATTTTTGTTTGCGTCTGAACAATCATGGATCCCTGGGTATGGATGATGAAAACGAGGTTCGGCAGCAAGATCTCGCGAAGTAAAAACTCCAATGCAATTGGAATGCCAACAAGTGTACACTGAGCCAATTTCAGTAATTTTCTCTTTCACCTTATCTAACCTTGTTGATCGAAAATTGTATCCCTGGACATTTACGGCAAATGTTCTAATAATCAGACCATCTTTTGGACGAATATACATAATCACTTTGATAAACGGATTCTTTTTTACGATGAAGCCCTTCATATTCGGAGTTTTTGTTTGTGATATTCTTGAATGTCTGTAAAATGAAAAATCGATGAATCAGATATTATCTTATGCATTTCGCTAAAAAACAATTTAATCGATCGATAAGTTGTTGAGAATTTATTGAAAAGAAAATTTACACTTTTAACTTTTCAATTTAATGATTAAGATTTTCAATGACATTCATTTTTTGAGATAAAGCGTCAACCATCTAAGGACAATTCAATTGAAAGGGCATGGATTTTGAAAAAACGTAAACACAATTTCTCACCACCTCAAAAGTCAAAGATGATCAAATCTACCCCTATCAAAATTCACCGCTTCTGCCGCTAATAGAAGATTGGAGGAGAAGAGAAGAGAAAAGCTAATTTAGCCCGAATGAAAGAGAAAGAGGAGAAAGTTATTCAAAATAAGCAAAAAAATTTCGAGATTAAAGCCCAGATGACGAAATCGAGAAATGAAGAGAAAAGAAAAAGAATTGAACAAATGAAGAGAAAAGAGGAAGAAGAGTTGAGAGAAAAACGTCTAAAGGAACAATCTAAACTGGAAGATTGATGATGATGACAATATCTTGATCAAGATTGAAAAGCGGATTAAAGCAAAAGAAAAGACTCGGAAACGTGATCTTCAGAAAACTAAAGAAGCGGCTAAAAAGAAGCAACAAGTGTTCGATCTAAGAAATCAACAAGAAGAAGAATAATAATAAGAATAATAACCTTCAAAAAGGTCATCCAACAAAACAACCTGTGCCACTAGTACCTTGTGAGCAAAGATTGCCCTTACATGGAACGTTTTCTACAAAAAAGAAGCCGTGGAAAAAAGGGAAATCAATGGAACTTGAAAGTTACCAAAGTTCACCTCCTAAACCGAAATCTAAATCAATTCCAGTTAATTACGATATCAGTGATATAAAGTCATGAAACCCATTCTGCTTAACATTTAAATCAACAACAATCTTGAGAATCTATTATCAGTATTTGCACAAAGATATTGTCCCTTCAAGTCTCAAGGTAAGTTAATGTGAATATTAAATGAGTTTCACTATTATTTAACAAAAAAAGATCTCGTTCTCAACCACGTAATCGTAACCTAATCGAAATTTACTTTCTCTATTATCTTTTTTTTTCATTTAATTATTTCACTATGTGATGATAGATTATCTATCAAAATTTTTTAATAGAAATAATAAACTTACTCAATATCTATCCATCATGATAAAAATCAGAATCATCTATCAAAAAGCGAGAGCTTTTTCTCTCTCTTTTTATCTCCGTGTTATGAATAATTACTCAAGTTAAATTGACAAATTATCGAAATTTAGAGAAGACAATCAGTTTAACTACCTGCTATTTAATTATTCGTTGTTTTCGAAGTACAGTAACGAATAGAGAGAAAACGAGAGGAAAAAACACTCAAAATCAACAATACAAAAGGAGGAAGAAAAAAGTACCATATGGTATTCATAAAAGTCGATCCATGATGATCATGAAGGAAAATAGAGAAAGAAAATTTCAGAACGTTTGGAATGTTTCACAATTGAAATTCTAACAAATTAATTGTAAGACAAATAGTTCAGGTGAAAAAACAACAACATCACAACTTATCTGAAGATATTTTACATGCAATTCAGAAGCGAAATTGTTAGAAATTTATCCAATTGATCTACAAGGGTACTAATATTTCACTGTTCTTACTCTCTAACCTCAAGAACAGATTTTTCAAACTTGACTATCAGTTATGCCACATCAACAAGCTATCAAGCTCTCTCACCAGAGTTGAGACTCATCCTGATCTTTAACCTTTCTGAAGGTTTATAATACCTTTCGAAAGTGAACAAAACTACTTACATTAAACGATATGTGATCTGAGATTAGTTTGATCATTCTCTCAAAATTTGGTTCAATACCAAACAAAAAAGAGAGAGAAACTTGATGAATTGTTACAAATACAAATAAAAGTTTTACTTACCAAATCGTAAATTGCTTTCCACAACGTTCTTGCTTTTGTTGGCTACTGTTGATAAAACACACAATTAGAATATTAATATGGTGATATAGAGAAATTTGACTTTGACTTTACAATTAAGGCAAACTTTTTCTGCGATTAAAACTATTCGCTTTTGCTAATAACTTGAATACATCAAATAACACATTAAACTTAACGCGAAACAGTTTTGATTTGGACTGAAACAAAAGTTGTCTATGTTAATATCTTTAATTTTATTATCTAAACAATTATGTTTTAATTGTCCATGCATCGTTAACAATAAGACAACACGACAATAAGATGCGAAAAAAGATTGTTTTCTATTGTTCTGGTTTTCAGTTGGATAACAAAATTTGATTATCTAAACAATTGTCTTTCAATTGTCCATGCATCGTTCCAATTAATATTGTCTTATTGTTAACAAAACGAGGCTAAAAACAATAGAGAAAATTTCCCTTGAGGAGCTTTGTAATTGTTCGCTATCATCTATGTATCTTTATTGTTTCGATGTTAATTGGAACGATGCATGGACAATTGAAAGACAATTGTTTAGATAATCAAATTTTGTTATTCAACTGAAAATAAGAACAATAGAAAATAAATTTCTTTCTCATCGTGTTGTCTTATTGTTAACAAAACGAGGCTGAAAACAATAGAGAAAATTTCCCTAGAGGACCTTTGCTATTGTTCGCTATTATCTATGTATCTTTATTGTTTCGATGTTAATTGGAACGATGCATGGACAATTGAAAGACAATTGTTTAGATAATCAAATTTTGTTATTCAACTGAAAATAAGAACAATAGAAAATAAATTTCTTTCTCATCGTGTTGTCTTATTGTTAACAAAACGAGGCTGAAAACAATAGAGAAAATTTCCCTAGAGGACCTTTGCTATTGTTCGCTATTATCTATGTATCTTTATTGTTTCGTGGTTAATTAGAACAATGCATGAACAATAAAAGATAATTGTTCAGATATTAAAGATATTACCTTAGACAGCTTTTTTTCAGTCCAAATTAAAACTTTTTCGAGTTAAGTTTAATGTGTCAGTTGATCTGTTCAAATTATTAGCAAAAACGGATTGTTTTAATCGCAGGAAAAGTTTGCCTAAATTGTAAAGTCTAAATTCAATATATTACCATATTGATATTCTAATTGTGTGTTTCATCTCTAACAGCAGCCAGCAAAAGGTTACATTATAGCCCAACACAACATGCAATCAACCTCCACAACAAATTCTGTCGCCTATCAATCAGAAAGTTTACCATCTTTTCCTTCAATTATGCCTGAACGAGATCAACCAAACATCATGGAACCAACAACAGTCTCATATTGGACCAACAATCAAGTAGAACAGTCAACATCCATAAATGCAACGGTAAATGATCATTACAGTCCAACACAAGTGCAATCAACCTCGACAACAAATTCTGTCGCCTATCAATCAGAAAGTTTACCATCTTTTCCTTCAATTATGCCTGAACGAAATCAACCAAACATCATGGAACCAACAACAGTCTCATATTGGACCAACAATCAAGTAGAACAGTCAACATCCATAAATGCAACGGTAAATGATCATTACAGTCCAACACAAGTGCAATCAACCTCGACAACAAATTCTGTCGCCTATCAATCAGAAAGTTTACCATCTTTTCCTTCAATTATGCCTGAACGAGATCAACCAAACATCATGGAACCAACAACAGTCTCATATTGGACTTACAATCAAGTAGAACAGTCAACATCCATAAATGCAACGGTAAATGATCATTACAGTCCAACACAAGTGCAATCAACCTCGACAACAAATTCTGTCGCCTATCAATCAGAAAGTTTACCATCTTTTCCTTCAATTATGCCTGAACGAGATCAACCAAACATCATGGAACCAACAACAGTCTCATATTGGACCAACAATCAAGTAGAACAGTCAACATCCATAAATGCAACGGTAAATGATCATTACAGTCCAACACAAGTGCAATCAACCTCAACAACAAATTCTGTCGCCTATCAATCAGAAAGTTTACCATCTTTTCCTTCAATTATGCCTGAACGAGATCAACCAAACATCACGGAACCAACATCAGTCCCAACGTTAAACAATCATTATGACTTTTCACGAATGGCGACAGCATTGCCTCAAAATTCAACTAGTAATCGATCTGGAGAAGCTACGCTCATCGATTCAACCACATCTCACAACGGCCCAATAACATTGATGAGAACAATTCCTACACCAACTTCGATTAACAATCAAAGACCATCATCTACATCAATCGATACAACCTCATTTCATAATGGTCCAACAACACTAATAGAAACCATTTATGAAACAACTTCGGTTGGCAATCAACGTAAACCATCTACTTCTACCGATGCAACTACGAAAACACCGAATTTGACCAATCGTCAACCCAGGCAATCTGCTTCGTTGGCTCCAAATGGTACGAATGATGATGATGAGGTTGATGCAGATGAAGATACAGCCCAACACAACATGCAATCAACCTCGACAAGAAATTCTGTCGTCTATCAATCAGTAAGTTTACCATCTTTTCCTTCAATTATGCCTGAATGAAATCAACCAAACATCACGGAACCAACATCAGTCTCAACGTTAAACAATCATTATGACTCTTCACAAATGGCGACAACATTGCCTCAAAGTTCAACTAGTAAGCAATCTAGAGTAGCTACGAAAACACCGAATTTGACCAATCGTCAACCAAGGCAATCTGCTTCGTTGGCTCCAAATGGTACGAATGATGATGATGAGCCTGATTCAGATGAAGATACAGATGAAGATACAGATGAAGATACAGATGAAGATACAGATGAAGATACAGATGAAGATACAGATGAAGTTGAAGATTCAGATAGAGAATCTTCATCATACTTGCAAACTTCAGCCGTTTGTCCGGTTGGGGAATTCAACGTCGACGAAGTTATTGGGATGGACTGGGTAGAAATTGACAGCGAGGGAACCTTTGGTGTAAGAGCCTTAGTTCAATGGAACCAAGTTTATTAAAGCCAAGTAACATCACTACAAACAAGCGAATTAAGTGGGGCCTTCCGGAAAAATACAAGAAATTTGACTCGGGAGCGGTTGATGTCTCGAATCCAGAAAATGTACGTCTAATGCCCAAACATTTTCGATGCATGTTTTGTGGTGCATTTCAAAGTTCCAGATGCTCCCATACTAGACATATACAGGGCGTTTTTTTTATCCACTACGGCTATTACACTGCATATCTCCAGAATTAAAAGTCATATGAATTTCAGACTTGACCAGAGGACTGAACAGAATTGCAGCGCTCGATCCTACGATTTTCAAGGTCATTGAGGTCATTTAACGAGGGTAGCGTTTAAAGGTCATCTTAAGGTCGTCGTGTGAAAGAACACAAAAGGTTACACTTAAGCCTTATGTTTGATGATATTCCGTCAAAAGGCAGCTGAGATACAGAGTTTCTTATAAACTTGGCTCTTGAAGTGTTTTCAGATTGAAAAATGTTTATCTTCTAATCCGTTCATCACAGAAACTTCAAAATAAGACTTGAGGTGTGATTTGATTTGCTCTTTTACACGACGACCTTAAAATGACCTTTAAACGCTAACTTCGTTAAATGACCTCAATGACCTTGAAAATCGTAGGATCGAGCGCTTCGATTCTGTTCAGTCCTCTGGTCAAGTCTGCCATTCATATGACTCTTAGTTCTGAAGATATGCAGTGTAATAGCCGTAGTGGATAAAAAAAACGCCCTGTAAAATCATGTAAGTTTCCTGGGGCGCCGAAACATAAATGTGTCTCTACTGTTGGCAGGAGACTTTGCCCATCTACATGTAAAGGATCAACATCATATGTTGCCCCACCAGAAAACAGACGTGGTAAAAAGCCAGGAAAAACAGGTAGACCGAAAAGGCAAAACTGAGCAAGAAAAATATCTGAAATTTAAATAAAATTGTTTTGGCAGAGAATGTAACAGAACTGTTTATGGGGTAGCAAACTTTAACTATTTGGATATAAAATTTATTAATGTTTTGTTTGAACATTTATATAATAAAAATTGAATTGGAATTTGGTGATTGATTTTTTGTGTCTGTTCATTACACTTTCGATATTTACAAACTTCCGCTCTTTTTTCTATTGTCATTCGCAGCCTTTTATAGCTCTTCCTCATGCTATTCGTTCGTTCATCAATCTCCTTCGATTTGTTAGAAGAAAAAGCTTTCGAGATGAAGCATATAAGCATATTCTCATAGGCAATTTAGATTTAATTAAATTAAACAATTCATCAAGTTTAACTTTTGTCTATGGCTCTTTATGAGGTGGCTGTGAAGACGAAAACTTACGAGATGAATCAAGTTTCAAACTAATGTCAATTCTCATAGACAATTTAGATTCAATTAAATCAAACAATTTTCAAGGTTCAACTTCGTCTTTGGGCTTTCTTAAGCATATTCTTATAAGCAATTTAGATTTCATCCAATATTAGTTATTTAATTATTATTCAATTATTAATTATTATTAATTAATTAATATTAATTCAATATTATTTTATAATACCATATTATTAATTCAGTAACATCATTCCATTGGCTTTACTTGCTATCTCTTTTTCTTGCTATTTGTTCGTTCATCCGTCTCTTCTCTTGCCATTGGCTTTATTTTCGATCTCTTCCTCTTGCTATATGTTCGTCTATTCATCTCTTTCTTTTCCATTGGCTTTACTTTCTATCTCTTCTTCTTGCTATTTGTTCGTCTTTCTATCTCTTCTCTTCCCATTGGCTTTACTTTCTATCTCTTTGCCTTACTATTTGTTCGTTTATCTATCTCTTCTTCTTCCATTGGCTTTACTTTCTATCTCTTCCTTTTGCTATTTATTCGTCTATCTATCTCCTCTCTTTGTATAGGTTTCCCTTTCTATCTCCTATCTTTGTATAGGTTTTACTTTTCTATCTCCTCTCTTACAATTGGTGTCCAATGTAAGCGCTGCTTCTTGCTATTTGTTCGTCTATTCATCTCTTCCTTTTCTATTGGCTTTACTTTCTATCTCTTCCTCTTGCTATTTGTTCGTCTATTCATCTCTTCCTTTTCCATTGGCTTTACTTTCTATCTCTTCTTCTTGCTATTTGTTCGTCTTTCTATCTCTTCTCTTCCCATTGGCTTTACTTTCTATCTCTTTCCCTTACTATTTGTTCGTTTATCTATCTCTTCTTCTTCCATTGGCTTTACTTTCTATCTCTTCCTCTTGCTATTTATTCGTCTGTCTATCTCCTCTCTTTCAATTGGCTCCACTTTCTATATCTCTCTCTCTCTCTTGCTATTAGTTCGTCTATCCATCTCTTCTCTTTGCATAGGTTTTACTTTCTATCTCCTCTCTTGCTATTGGAATCGAATGTAAGCGCTGCTTCTTGCTATTTGTTCGTATATCTATCTCTTCTCTTTCCATTGGCTTTACTTTCTATCTCCTCTCTTTCAATTGGCTTCACTTTCTATCTCTTCCTCTTGGAGATTGTTTCGTCTATCCATCTAGTCCTTTTCTTTTGGCTTTATTTTCTATACATTTAATTTTTTTCTATTTTGTATCACGGGTGAGATACATTCGAATTTTTCTATTTTGTATCACGGGTGTGATACATTCGAATTTTTCTATTTTGTATCACGGGTGTGATACATTTAATTTTTTTCTATTTTGTATCACGGGTGTGATACATTTAATTTTTTCTATTTTGTTTTGCTTTTCTTTCGATTCATCTTTGTAAACACCCAACACCTACTTTGCAATCAACCTCACGCTTTCTAACTGACAATTTACTCTATGGTTGTAGTCATACTACTTTATTTTCTCCGTACCCATCCATGCGTCTTAACCTCACGATTTCTAACTAACAATTTACTCTATGGTTGAAGTCATACTACTTTATTTTATCCGTACCCATCCATGTTTCTTAACCTCACGCTTTCTAACTGACAATTTACTCTATGATTGTAGTCATACTATTTCATTTTCTCCGTACCCATCCATGCTTCTTAACCTCACGCTTTCTAACTGACAATTTACTCTATGATTGTAGTCATACTATTTCATTTTCTCCGTACCCATCCATGCTTCTTAACCTCACGCTTTCTAACTGACAATTTACTCTATGGTTGTAGTCATACTATTTCATTTTCTCCGTACCCATCCATGCTTCTTAACCTCACGGTCTTCAGTACACACGAACTTATAACAGATAGGTCGATATATTGTTGCATATTTCAACCAAACATTGCCATTCCACACAATTAATGTCCGCGGCTTCCGATCTTTCAGGCCAATTTTCTCGAAAACTATCGGGTTGTGGCAGGCCAGAATAAAATGGCCCGCATAATTTCTCACGCCGTTTCAAAAACTGGTTTTCC